CTGGCGCCTTAGCCACTTGAGCCACAGGCGCCGAGCCGATTTGAAATATTTTCATCAAACTGGTTAACAGCCTTCACAGCTATGTTATTGTGACTATTAAGTTTTATAGTCTTTAAAACTTTTGTGCATAGACAGAAGCAAGAGGAATGTCATGAACATCCAGACAGCCAACCCCCTAGATGATGCTCTGCTGTGCCTTCTCCATCTGTCTTTTTATTCACTGTTTTGGGTTGTATTTAAAGCAAATCCCTGGCATCAGGGCATTTCATCCCCGAAATACTTCCATCTGTGTCTGTAAAAAATGAGGCCATTTGCTTACGTAACCACACGTGATTACCAATAATCACTCCTCAGTGTCTAATTCCTAGGCTTTGTTAAGATTCTCCTTATTGACTCTAGAATGTCTTTTGTGTGGTTTATTCAAGAGTATAACTTCTGAAATCTGGGAATGTGGTATGGAAATGAGCGTAGTTGGCCTTGGCTCCTTCTTGGCCCTGTGTCCCTGGATCCTGCCATCTGCCCTGATATGCTGCTCAGGGGATCTCAGCAATTCCCCACTCTGTGGCAGCCCCCTGTGTGTGTTGGTAGTTGAGGTCAGAGCTCACACACCCAAGAGTAGGGGAACATGGAGATGTTGGAGGCTTCTTCTCTCTAGGTATGGATCTGTCCGCCAACCAGGATGAGGAGACTGACCAAGAGACATTCCAGCTGGAGATTGACCGTGACACCAAAAAGTGTGCCTTCCGTACCCACACGGGGAAGTACTGGACACTGACAGCCACCGGGGGCGTGCAGTCTACTGCATCCACCAAGTGAGTGCCCTGCCACCCACCTGTCACCCCCTTGCTTGCCGGGGCTGGCCCCCTGCCTGACCCTGTCCTTCCATCTCCAGGAATGCCAGCTGCTACTTTGACATTGAGTGGCGTGATCGGCGCATCACACTGCGAGCATCCAATGGCAAGTTTGTGACTGCCAAGAAGAATGGGCAGCTGGCTGCCTCAGTGGAGACAGCAGGTAGCTGCCTGTAGGCGGAACCCCCAAGCCTTTGGTTCCCTAGTGCTGCCCTCAAATGCTAGCTGGTCACTTGCCAGCTCCAGCAGAGGCCCACTGCGTCTACTTGGGACCTCCAAAACTGGCCCAGCCCTGTCTTACCCTAGGCTGAGTGCTGTGTGACCCCAG